GCATTTCTGCTACTTTTGTAACTAAGGGGGACACCTAAAGTCTGGCTAAGCAAATGTTGAAAAGAAATATATAGTTAAAGATGAAGACAGAAAAAAGATTGAGATCACTTTTAAGTAAATTACATAACAATGCCTAAAATGTAAATTAAAATCCCTAAACAGAAATTGAAAAGTCCAGTGTTCAGAATGAGACAGAATAGGAGTGCTCTCAAAACTTCTGTCTTTAAAATTAGCACTGCACATGCAATTAGCAATTTACTGTGGAACTGGAGCTACAGACTAAATTCATTTTTTCAGATCAGCAAAATAAATAAAAATTAATTTAGAAAAATTATTTCTGCTAACCCATAATCAGCTTCAGACTTTCCCTAATGGAGGCCAAGTGGAAGTACAATAACTATTACATAAACTGCATATTCAGACTCCTGTACTTGAATGAACAGAATCTTAAACTGTAAAAATATGGATGAAACATTAAGACTACTTCAAGAATATACCTACATTTCCCATATGAAAGTCACAATCCACATCACATCATCTGAAATGCAATGGCTATTTATATGGCCAGTCGCTGAAAACATCTTGCCACTAAACTATCCACTGACTAATCAATAAGCCTATCCAAGTACAGTACGCTCTTTTCTAACACTGAAATCAATTAAATTGATGAAATAGAGTGAATTGCAAGTACAGATTAGCTGGGAAGTGCAAACTGATGTCAGTGCAGCTATTTATCTACCTTAGGGGGCCTGGAACCTTGAGCTCGTAAACATCTCCATTAAAGGGCAAAGCTCCAACCTTCCTTTCACTTGCATCCAAACAACCACAGTGACTTCATGGGGCAGGTGTGGGGGTTACTGGGGTAAGGCTCAGAAAAAAATTTGATTCTCAAAATTCCAAAACCACCTGCAAGAAGTTTCTTACCCAACTTCTGCTCTGGCAATCTCAGCCTGGGCATTCCTACTGATGTTTTATGCCCTCTCCTCACGTTTGGCTTTTCACATTACTACAAAAAGAGCAGTGTTATTTACTGACTATACTTCCACCATTAATCATAGAAATCTAACAGTAGTGGACTGATATATTCCAAGTGCTGGGCTGCAAACTAAGTGATGAAGAAAGTCCACAGTCGCTCCTTGAGAAAATAGCTTTGTTTCTTCTGTCCTGTTTCAATAGGTCTGGTAGGCTTAGTCGATAATTTTAGCAACTACAATTTCTGTGCAGAGATGTAATTTTTGAAATACCATGGCATTAATGAAAGTACCAAACATCTTAGGGTCTGTGATAGCTCATCAGATTAGTGAATCTATGCCCGTAAGATGTTACATTGCCCAGCTGATTTCAGGAGATAAAAATCTTTGCAAGGTTTGCCATCCATGCAAGGGTTCTGGAGCTGGCGGAGTTACTTCATTATAAAGTTATGGCTCAATTTTCAACAGCACCAACTGGACCTTGTTGGTAATTCCCAGGCAAGAGGTTTGCAGGCTGACACTAACACAGCACAACCTGGTTTAAGTGGAAAGAGCATTTCAGCATGTCCAGGCTTCAGACTCTCTCACACATCTGAAATCAGAGCTGTCACTGTTAGCCAAGTACTGGCAGATGGAAATACCTTCTGATTTCATACAAAAAGGAAACAAGAAATCTGGCCCATGTCTGAAACTTCTCTATGCACCTCAGACTATATCCTTTCAAGGTGAAAATATTCAAGATATTGGAGTGGCAGAGAAATCCACCAGCCAGCAGCAACGAACAGTGCATGGCATAGAAAGCAAAAGCCAAGAGTGCTGGGATAGCATGTCAGACAGACAAGTGCTGAAGAAGCATGAGTGGGTTTGCTGGTGAGAAAAACAGGTAATTAAGATGATGAGCAGTCAGAGTGGGAAGTATCATCCAATCCCAATTGGAAGATGTAGAGTAAGCTTCTACTGTTACGTTATTAATTGAAGGTACAGATGAGCCGTTGTGCTGAAATCTGAGAGAAATACAGTCCTTCTGAGTAATGACTGGAACGTGACCCCTGAAGTCTCTAGGTCTTTGGTCAGTTTGCTTTTCCCACTTGAAGGCTGGATCTCAAGAGGAGGAAAGTGCTACAACTTTTAGCCTGATGCTGACTCTTTAGAAGCCATCACTCTTCAGGATTTAGTTATTCAGTAGTAAAAGGATTAGTTTACTAATACAGTGATAGAATTTCAAATTATATTGATTGTAATTAACTTTTTAATTTTCTTTTAAACTCATACACTTCTAATACTTTGCAATGAAGCTTGATACACTGGATTCAGAAATGATTTTCTGTAGCTAAGTCAAAATATAGCTTACATAGATAATATAAAATAAAGTCCACTTGCTACTCACAGCAGATGTATTCCTTCAATTTCTGTGAAAACTGCAATACTATCTGTGTACAGTTTCACCTAGGTTGGTGTCTCACCACTTTCCACAGATCAACATATGCTGAATACATAAGAAACCTTCTCCAGTGGGTCTATCAGTGATTGTTTTGTTTAATGCTAGTGCAAAATGGAACTTAAACCAGATGAAATAAACATAAATGTTAACTATCTTGCTGGAGATGAGAAACCAGATGACGTCTGGAGTTGGCATTATTCTAAACAGGAACAAGGTATGAAACCTACTTAGCTCAGAGGTTTATAAATACCAGATATTACGAGGAGGTTGGCAGGTTAAGAAAGGACAAGCACAGCTCTATAATAGTAAATGAGAAAGATGGAAAGAGAACATATGTGAAATTATATCTGGGAAGTCCATTTTTGTCCAAGATAATTTTAATTATGCTTTTTATTGGACAGATGCTCAAAGTAGTAGAAGAAATCTGCCTTTAAACACCGTCACAATTTACCTGATTCTCTCTGCTAAAGTAAAAAAGAACACAAGAAAAATCCCTTAAACCACAAAGACTGGGACCACTGTGGCAATGCGGCAGCATGCAAAGCATCAGTTCCACAAACCTCCCTGCAGCACCATAGCAAAGTCCCGAGATGTATCCTGCAAGCATTTATAGACCAACTGAACTTCATGTACTATGATTAATTTCCCTGACACCATGTGGGTTTCATTGCAGCATACAAAACCAAACACAGACTTACGTATTTTTAGGGTCAAGACATACTTAACACAAGTCAGTCGTGATTTAATGTGCCTGTACTTACTGTGCAACTTACTAAATGTGAGAGAATTCTGTATTTTGGTACAGTTTGTGTTTTTCCCTAGAACAGCATGTACGTTGTTTCAACATCAATGCTGAAGTTAAAAACTCTGCAGTTACTGATGTTTATTTTAACAAAGTTATCTAATGCAGCTGGAAATGGAGGTACAGTAGCCTCATATTTAAAAGCATAGCCTTTTATGTAACACCAAAGAGCACTAATGGGAATGTTGCCCATTTCTGATTATTTAGCAGCTTCTATTCTTTACAGGAATTAATGTTCCAATCAGAATGCATCTGTATAACATTTTTCTGGTGTTAATCAAGTATCACCAATTCAGTGATTTCCTTGTGATCCCACTGCATATGCTGGACCAGATTATTCAGATTTTTATCCTTATTATCTGCTGGTAGAAGAGATAATGGGACATTTCTAATCACAAAATAGTGCCACACAGAAAAGCTATGGTAAGAGTGAACATCAAGAATGTACAATAAAAAGGCAGAAGAAGACCCTGTGTTACAAGAACATGTTTCTGGACTGTGTTTAGTGCAATAATCTAGATGTAGATAAGCATTAATATTCACAAGATAAGTGGATAGTTCAGCATCAGTCCTTGTTTGCAGTGTTGGAAGCTATGCATATGTGTGAGGCATGCATGTGAGGCATGCCTTCATGCACGGGTCAAGAAGGATTGCTTTAACAGCTTTTAAACTTTGCAAACTGGGGGTAAAGGTTTTTGACCTTGGCAGTAAACCCCAATACTACAGTTTGTGCTAGGAAGTGATACCACTCAGGGTAGGATACGGAAAGGATATAGTGTCCCTTAGTTGCAAGCCCAATGCTCTCTAGCTATAATGAGAGAATCTCTAGAGTGACTTCTAGAGAAACAGTTCAGATTTCCAGTGACACTTCAGAAATGTGTCCATTTGTCCATATGAACATTCACACACACACACAAACACATAAATAGGAAAAAAAAGGCAGGAGTAAACTTCTCTGAAACACCTTAAGAACTTGGTGTTCTGATGAGAAACAGTAAACAGTGCAGTTACTATTATATCTTTGAGGTATTTTTTCAGTTATGTGCAGTGCTAATCACTCGTTCAAAAATCAGCATTTTACATGTTTAATTCTAAAACTGTTACTAGGTTTGAAAAGTAACATCTCAATACTCTTTTTTTTAAGTCTTCATAGTTAATTACATTTAACTCTTCATATTTTTCGCATTCCATCTGCTTCTAACTGAACATGAAAGAATTTATATGTGACATTTATTGTCCATCACGTAACCTTCTGCTCTGCTTTTAAATATTAAACATCTTTTCTGTCTGTAGGGGTTTAATTATACAATGAAATTAAAAGAAGTTTTGACCCTTGTCATTCTTGTAACTTTGCAAATACTCAGATTTCAAAGTTAGGTTATGTTAATTGCCAATATGATCAATTTAACTGTAGCACATATGTAACGATACTGACTTTTGCTTCTGACCCAAGATTTGTTTTCTCTCAAGAATAGACATTCAGTGCACAGGACTGGCTAAAGACCACTGAAATCAATGGAAAGGCTACCAGTGACTTTGAAGAAATATGGATTGGGCTTTGAGCGTAATACAGCTGACTTCATTGACTCATCAAAAGGGTTGAATTTTGCTTAAACAGACGTAAAGCGCTTCATCCCATGTACCTTTAACAAACTGCATATATTTTAACCCCACCCTTCCACTCCCAGGAATTTACAGCATTTTATTACGCTAGGTCTGTTAAGGAGTCACAAGACTTGCACAGATAAAATGAATGACTGAAACACATACAGTTGTTTGTACTTACAAGTGTCTGGCTTGAGCTGACTGTTGGTAATTCCAAAATACTGGGGATTTTCAATAACAGGAATCTTCGTCATCCCAATGATGACTGCATCAGGACCCCCCTCAGAAGAAGATGGAGTGTTACTGCCATTTGAGATGTGGTGGAGGGGACTGGCAGAATCATCATCATTGCTGATAACTGAAGAAGGACCTAGAGTTAGAAACAAAGATTTTCTTGTAATTCGGCATATGGCATCCTTCCCTCAGACAATTCCTTTATCTTTTTTTTGTTTTGACCACTTTTATTTTGAACAGTTTTGATCAGTTGTCCATGGTCAACAGCTCTCTTTGTGTGCCTTGTTGTGCGCCTTACCTCAGAAATTTTATATTTCTGGATGCAGATGGAGAACAGAGTAATGTAAAACAAATTTTTATATTGGTACATCACTTAGACTAAATATGTCAGTGTCCAGCACAGTCTGTCACTGTGAAAGATCTCAAAATTTGTTGAACTCATTCTGTCAGTCTCAGAATTAAGCTATAAAATACATGCACAAACTTTTTTACCTTAAGCCTTACTTGAATCACATAGCAGTAACAGCACAAACCCAGGGAATGCCTGCCCTACCTGGTATTATAACAAGACAAAAGACAGAGAGGAGATGGGCTCATCCTGATGTGGGAAGCTGGTAACTTCTGAAACAAACATGGTTCAGGGTCAAAATCCAGGGAACAATTTGCACAGTCACAGAGGTGCAGAGAAGATGGATGCTGAGTTGATTAGTGGGAAAGACATGCACCACACCACTGCAAAATTTGAAATCAGTGCAGAGAGGCACATCGAGCCCAGGGGAACATCCCACTGGCTCCCCCATCCATACTTGAGTCCAGTCACCTTCCAAAAAGAGGTCTATTGTGAACAGTAATTCAATGAGAAATGAGAGTTTTTGTTTTGTTTGCACTCTGTGGTTCGTATTTTTAACAGAATGCCACTGAGATAATACCTTGTAAATGCATTTTAAAAAATACTGCTTAGCACAGTGTTCCACTTCTGTGAGGTAAGGAACCTTTGACCTAACAGCACGATCACCACAGATGACATTTGAACTCCTGACATTTAAGTTCCATGCCATTTAAATGCCATTTTATTTAAATTCCACATCGCTTTTTCCCGTTTATATCCAGTATTCATAGAAAACCAGAAACATCATTTAGCAGCAATGACATTTTGTCTCATTTCCTGACTGAAGAGCCAGCAGAGATCACACATGTCATATTTCACTTCATTGTCCATCCATGTTATCTAGGGTTTTGGGGATGACATTCACATCTTCTAATTGTAACATCAAAAGAAGGTGCTAGAAACAGACGGAAAAATTCACCCCCTGGAAGTATTTATCCTGGAATGGCATCCTTAGACAATAGTTGTGTTTAGTCTGTGGGCACCAATGAGAGGTTGAGCAAATGTTCCCCCAAAGAAGGGACAACTGATTGGACCTAAAGAACAACAAAAAGCCGTGTTTACTCAGTAACCAGTCACCCATAACCCTTGCAACATGTTGGAGTCCCAGAATGAGTGCTGGTTGGACAGAAGAACACTGCAGAGGCAAGACAGAGCTGACTAACGTGCCACATAGATGGCATTTATGTCTGCAGGAGAGATGGGTAATGCAGAGAAGGAGAGAGTAAGAATGGGGACTAGCAGCAGATTCTGTATACACATTACTGAGGACATGAGAGAAGACAGGCAGTATTCACTGCAGCAGACACACAATTAAGGAATAAGATAAGGAAAAGGACAGTCCAAAACACAGCAAAGAAAAAGTAGCTTTAAAGAAACTTCTACTCTTCTGTGGTTTGCTGCACTGTTAACAAAAGCACTTCATCACTACATGGCATGGCTCACAGAAATAAAGCTTTAATATGACGGCATGTGACTATTCAACTCTCTATTTTGAGACTCAAGTGTACTCACACCCCTATCCTGGTTTCCTTTCCTCCCAGTTGGTTTGATGGTGCATGAGGGAAATGTTCTTGTAGTTTGAAAAAGTACTTCCCCACCAGCTTGAAACATAAGAAGTAATTTTTCAAATACCTTGTAGTTCACTGTAAAGTCACTGTTGACAAATGTAAGTAAAGCCTAGATCTCTGCAATTTATCAAGTGAAATACTAATACCAAGGGTGGTTTTGTCATTACTGATCACCCAGATCCTCAAACAATTGATTCTACTGGGAAAACTGCCCAGATTGAGAGTTTTTGGTGAAGATTTCTCTAATGAAGGGCAGAGCCTAATAAATTGTGGGAAAGTGTCCCCCAGATGGCACAGAAGATACTTATATTAAATCACAACAAATTTTTTGGATGCATGGGTGCTGCTTGTAGAAGCATTAGAGTGCAACCCATTTAAAACTGCATTCAATTTTTGGTATATAACATCCTTGCATCTCTAAGCTTTCTGAATATCAACTTAATTGCTCCAAAAAGCAGGCAAGTAATACACACTTTCTTGGGAAAACAAAGTCTTTTTATATTGAGATAGCTTTACTACAAGGGTCAAATCCCTTCTCTCACAGTAAACAGGCAAATTCTCTTGGCTCTGAAACTTAATAGAAGCAAGTCTTGAAGTCCTTTTCAGCCCTGCTGTTCTCTGCTGCACAGGAGAAGGCTTTTTTGTCATTGTTTGCTTCCACCACACGTGCAGTGATCGTAAGGAAAAGTGACCATTAGACACTTCTAGATGTTAAAGTGCGATAAAAAATAGGAACTCCATTCATCAAATAATTTCTGCACTACCTTAAGACCTAATTTCGTATGGTGAACTATTTTTTCAATCAGTATAAACCACAAAGTGCTGCAGGTGAAAAGTAGACAATTGTTCTGTAAATCTATTTACTCAATTAGGCTAGCTGGTAAAAGCTAGTCTTCTGTGTGGTATGAAGAAGGGTCCAAGTATATTCAGGTCTCTGATGCAGGTGAGGAAAACATGGAAAATTAAGTGATTTCCAGACCTATTCCTGGCACTACAAAACAGTATAAGAAAAATTCAACACTAAGAACTTTGTTGCTGCATCATTTTGTGATCCCCTTTAATATTAGAAAGTAAACATGCCATGGTATTTCTGAATAGTTGTTTAAATTAAAAAATCCTATTTTCCTGTCTATTTCTTCTCTAATTAAGACAATTACAACTCAACAGATGGAAATTTTTATGTATCAGAGGCAGCTGAGCTCACATCCTTTCTAACTTGCTCTTTGCTGGGACTTCTTTTTCAATGTGAGCAAACTTGTACATAGACTTTTATTTGCTGGACTATCTACTCATCATAAAGCTACATTTCATTTTTTTGAATTCACTAAGCCACATTAAAGTTACAGACCAGCACTGCAGCTGGCTATAATATTCAAGTAATGCAAAACCATTTCTGGGATGCAAGATGAGACTATCACCTGTGCTGACAAGAAGTTAGAGCTGCCCTTTTCTGAATAGGCACTGAGTTCAGAATGAGTGGTCATTTTCTAAAACACCTTGGAGCGTTGTTCCACCCAGATGAAATGTGGTCACTGAATTACTTGTCAAAGGCAGAATGAGTATGGTAATTACACTCAGTCACCTATTACTGCTTCTGGTTTTTATAAAATCTGCTCTTTGTTTTACACCTGAAATCTGAAAATTTTAGACAAAACGTCATAGATGGAGTGAAAATCATGGGTTGTCAGTAGTCATTAGCTATTGCCAATACCTGATTCACAGTCAGATTGAGCTTTTGAGAAAATTCCAGAGACCTTTTCCACCTTCCAATGTGCTTCCAGCATCTTCCCTTGATTTCATTTTTAGACAATACTTCATTACACAATAGAAGTTGGAGCCAGACAAGAAATGGTAGCCTGCCTTGGAGATGATATAAGCTATACACCACAGGGATGAGTTTCACCTTTATTTAATGTTAAGCTAACGACCTGTCCATTTGGCATCACCTAGGCCCTAGACGAATCCCTTTTGTGTACAAAAACCAGCTCTTTAGAAAGTGTTGACATGTAAGAAAACCAATTATATTTTATACTGATGAGCTATATAATAAAACCAAAATACCTCCAACAACTAGGTGGGGAATTATCCTCAGCACAAAATATGGGGACAAGCAGAAACAACAAACTTCTCTTATTGCATATTCCTTAGATAACTGCAGAAAGTCAAACACTATGGTGGTTGGGTTGTGGTTTACCTTCAACAGTGCCAGTTATATTTCCTGTCTGAAATATAACTTGCTTCTGTGCTACCCCTTGAAAACTGCGTGTTTGCACTGTCCTTGATCTTGGTGGTGCGAACAAATGTTGAGTTTTCTTACATTAAGAAATAAAATTTAATTAAGCTATTTTCAAGATGTGCTGCTATTTCCGGACAAAAGAAGATCTGTCATTATTGTATACAGCATTTCCTGATAAGAAAGGCTAAAAGAACTAGGATTGCTCAGCCTGGAAAATAGAAAGCTTCAGGTGACCCAACTGGGGCCATCCAGTACCTGAAGGGAGCCTACAAGAAAGGTGGAGCAAAACTGTTTGCAAAAGCACATGGTGACAGGAAAAGAGGGAACAGCTTCAAACAGAAAGACAGTGGGATTAAATTAGTTAGTTGGAAGAAATTTTTTACTGTCGGGGTTGGTAAGGTACTGGAACAGGTTGCAGAGTGAAGTTGTGGATGCTCCATCCTTGGAAGTGTTCAAAGCCAGGTTGGATGTGGCTGTGAGCAACCTGATGTAGTGAAAGGTGTCCCTGCCAATGGCAAGACAGTTGGAACTAGATGAACTTTAAGGTCCCTTCCAACCCAAGCCATTCTGTGATTATGATTCATGATACTTGTATCACCATCAGTTAATGCAGTTTTAACATGCATGCTACCAAGACCTATCTACACTGCTATTTGTTGGGACTAAATTTGCTTTTCAGACTTCGCAATTTCAGACTTCTGCTAATATTTAGGCAGTTGGTTGACTACTACCTACCACTGGAATAACCCACATGACCTTCCTGTTATAGGACACCAGATTATTATATTAATTATTGGGTCAGAACAATTCAGGTGTGTGGCAGGGAGGGCGGGGTGGGACAAGTTGAATCTCATGGAGGTGAGGTCATGCCTTGTCCCACATGCCCCTTAAGACTCTTAGAGTGACCCTGGAGCAATTGTCAGTCAAAGGCAGCCCAGAAGCAC